ATGCCAGAAACTCTTACATTAATTAATAAATAAAAGAATTATATTGACCATGCATGCAATCGTGATAATATATATCACAATTAATATGGTTAAATATGACATACGATTATATTTATAGGCACACAAGCTACTAGTAGTATACTCCTATATATAACGCATTCCAAGATGCACGCAGCATTTAACACCCATATTAATTAGTTTTAAAAAGAGTGCTAGTTACTATCTGTCCTATAATAGTTATATTTCTAGGATTTAAATTTGTCCCAAAATAATTATCACAATATAGTATTAATGGTCTCATTAATCACTTCTCATTCAAATTTATCTCTATTTTACCCTCAACTACCCCTCCACTTTTATCTATATATAGAACATTTAATAAGGAGCATCGATTATAGTTTTTTTTCTCAATCCTTAATATATGCAACCATCTAGAATTATAATTTATATGGGACGGAGGTAGTACCATACAGCAGCAGCTAGCAGTCAAAATCATACCCGTGATATGCTATATATCATGCATATTCCCCTCTGCTCACTTTTTTTGATCGATATGGCGTTAGCACAACAATAATAATTTATGAAAAATATAATCTTAAAATAATAATTACACTTATAAAATAAGTCACATATATTGTGGTAAGTAGCATTAGTTTATGGTGCACATTATACTTAAGGTCTATCACAAACAAAATTAAAATATTTTTATCTCTCTCATTCACCTCATAAACAAGAGCTGAAGTATTTTTTTTTCTATCTCATGTGGCCCTATCTTATGGTTACTTAAATCCTAGCCATAGCAATAGCATTGTGCGAATTGCTTTAACATTATCCCACTATTTATGGGCTCACTCCTAAGATTACATCACACCACACAAACATTGAGCTTGTCTTTGTGTAGCATATCCCTATATCTATCAGCTGCCTGTATTTGGTCCATTTGATATGAATACTATTCTCTCCGTCCCTTAATATAAGGGATTTTGATATTTTGCTTACACTGTTTGACCATTTGTCCTATTCAAAAAAATTTTGGAATTATTATTTAATTTATTTGTGACTTATTTTATTATCCAAAGTACTTTAAGCACAACTTTTCGCTTTTTATATTTGCACAAATTTTTTAAATAAGACGTAGTCAAACAGTGTAACTAAAATGTCAAAATCTCTTATATTAAGGGACGAAGAGAGTAGTATTCATATGAATGCAAGGCACACACCACATGATCAAGCGTACCTAATAGTATTCCCTCTATCTTACAATAAACCAATTAAATATGAGATGCGATACATCATAATATTATGAATTTAAACATTTTATATTTGGTTAATTTGTTTTGGAAAGAAGTAATAAATTTCTCCAACACTGACCAACCGTATAATAATATATATAAATAACTTAAATCATTTGGATTATTGTTCATTTATAAATATGCATTGTCCCTAGGCTTGCCTCCCCGGGGCCGAAGAAGTCTGGCCAAAAAAAAAAAAGGCCCACGATAGTTATTGGACGAGCTTGGGCAGGGAGAGAGATATATATACAAAACCAAGCCCGAAAAATTTTAACTATTTTTTTAGCGAAGAAATGCGTAAGGCGTACACATGCAAATTAAATGCTCACAGATGGGTCGTTTTGGTTTGCTGGGCCGTCTCCGTTTTCTTCTAAACCGAAATGAGAACCAGCATGGAGGCACTCTTTGGTTGGATGCACGGCTAATTAAAGTACAGAGACTTCTCGTCATCAAGTAATAATAGCAGCTCTTAAGATCCAAAATTAAGGCTCTTTCTGCTACAACCAGAGATTGCGAGAAACTAGCATTTGGACATTTAAGTGCAAGAATTAGATTATGATGTTTAATTTGTTTCACAGTACGTATGTGCTCTCTGTCGCAATGTACTCCGATCCATTTTACAGTAGCTAGCTAGTTCACGTGCATGTACTATACTTGTTCAGTGATCTCTTTTGACACATCCATGCGCCGCACTGATCTGGTCATCTCAAGACCTGGATTATATATAATGCAGCAAGTCAGAAGCAAATTAAAGGTAAGCATGAACAAAGATCAATTCAATGATCGATGTACACTGACTATAAATATAGGTCATCGCAACCTGCAGACAAGCTGTGGGATAAGCAGCTCTTTTCGATCGAGTTAGCCAGCGCCTAGCTATTAGCTATAGTTATTAGTTAGCTAGCAAATTAAGCTCCAATGGACAGGCAGAAGAACCGTGCTGAGCAGCCACAGTCGTCGGAAGACAAGAAGGAGGATGATGAGAAGAAAAAGAAGATCAAGAGGTCTACCCTGTAGGCCGAAAACCGTCAGAATAATATGAATTACCGTCAGAAAATACTTTTCTGTGGGTGCACCGTCAGAGTTTGCCGACAGAAAAAAGACCACGGAGAAAATAAATTTTTCTGTCGTTTTCCTGACAGAAATATCATTTCTGTCGGGAATTCCTGTCGGTTGGCTCACAAAAAAAATCAACTGGCGTCAGGTTTGTGAAAGCTTATTTTTGACGTGGACCCGTCAGGAAAAACCATCATCCACCGTCAGAAAAAATGAGTTCCACGCCCAAAAAAAAACACATGGTGATTTGGATAAATATATGAACATCAATCACAATCCATACATCAAAATTCAAGTCTGCAAAGCTTACATAAATAGTCCATCTAAGTTCAGTACATACAAATTCATTCAAACCGGATTTAGTAATATACAAAGGGTCCATAGAAAAGATAAATGTGTTCAGTTACAATTCATCAAACATATGTAAAAGAACATTGTCTTCCAGCAGCAGTCCGTGTTCCGTGGTGCTTCAACCTTGGGCAAAGGAAGCTAAAAGGTTTTAAAAAAGAGGTTCAATTTCATAATTTTCTTCATTACAAAATAAATAACAATGATTCTGAATACCCCAGTTATAGAGAAACAAATAGATTAGTACAGGAAAAACTGAAGTGAGCAACATAAATTTGTCAACTACAAAGCATGAAAATGAAATATGGCAACTGAAATGAAAAGTGACCATGAAAATACTTCCTGTAGTACTCTGCCAATTCAGATAAGACATAAATGCTAGGATAATAGGATCAAACTCATTTTCTATGGATGCTTAAATGACAAGTTTCATGGTGCAAATGCTAGGACATCTTAGACTAAGAAAGATTTCATCCACTGAATGAGAAGCATACCTTGATTTTCATCATGTGCAACGTTCTGTAGATATTTAACTGCAGCACTTAAAGATTCAAGCTATGGCCTGTTAAGAAAAATACAAAGTGCCATGAACAAGGTAAATTATAAAGGGTTTGTACATAAGAAAATTTTAAAAACAAGAGACTGAAACTAATTTATTGTTCTGATGGCATGTATCTATCCAACACATGTAGCAGTATGTGACTTGCCAAAAGATATACATGGACTTGGACTTGTGAAGTATGTATATGCACTAGTAGAGACTAGAAAGCACTAATGATTTCATGCATACAACCTGAGCTAAAAATATGTTTTCTTAGCTACTAAAACAGAGAAAATAAAACACTATAATACTCATTATTCACACAATCCTTACCATGAATTGCAAGGTAAAAATAGCATAAGAAAAGCATCTGCATTCTAACTAAATGTGACCAAGAAAGCATAGTGCATGATAATCCACTGATAGATTAATTCCATGTCAAACAACTCAGTACCAGACACAAACAAAGTTTTATGAATAGCAGGGACTCTAGTGTGGGAGTACCTGTCAATCTGTCATGCCACAACATTAGGTCTTCACAAAATGGCTAGAGGAAAATTAGTTGGTCCAGACATAATTGTCTTACAAGGCTGAAACAAGAAACAAATCATTTAGATGTAAAATAAATATTATACTCTAGGAGTAAGTAATCCAAGAAAATTAAATTTCTATTATAGAAACTAAATCACATAATGTAGACAATATGGGAACCAACTTGTCTTGCTTAATATCTGGGAATCAGAGCTCTGAGAAAAAATAATAATTGGCAACAACAGTAATGGATCAACTAATCCAATCTAGATTAGTTGATGAATGCAGCAACGCAGGTTTTGACACAAGAACCCAATCTAGATCTACTGACATTCCACTGACAATCATTAAACTTGTGGTCAAGGGCCAATAACCCAATCTAGATCTACTACTGGGCAGTCACGTAATACGGATCAAAGCCAAAATAATCCACAAGTGTAAACTAGTATGACTTACACTTTTTCATCCTGAAGGAGAATGGTTGGCTGCAACTTTGGAGCAGATTAAATTGAACTCCTAGAAATCTCCGCCGGCGGCTATCTGAACAAATCGGTGTTTGGGATTAGCAGCGGAAACACATGCTAGCATGGACAGAGGTGCTCCAAACCGTTTCCTCACCATTGAAACACATATTTTTGGATGCTTTTACTTACTGAAGAGGAGGGGAAGGAGGGGCAGCGCCCATTCTCCTGCCGGCGCTGCCGGAGCCGAGAACCGCGAGATCTGGAGCACCCACACTCGATACGGCTGGATCCGTGGTTCCCAGGGTTGGGGCATCCAGATCTAGAGGTTCTGAGCTTGGGCCTTGGGGTGGCTAGCACCGGCAGTGGAGGGGATGGTGGAAGCTCGTCGCCGGCAGGAGATGGTGGTGATGGTCGGCTGCATCTTGCCGATGGCGCTGGGCGGAGGCTCGGTAGCCGACCCGCCGTTCGTCGAAGGTATCGCACAGGCGCTCGCCATGCGGATCTGGAGAGAATAGAGGGGCGGCGACGGCTCGAGGGTTTGGGAAGAGGGGTGGGGAATTAGGTTTTGGGACTTGGCTGCCTGAGTTTTATTTGATGGTTCTTGAGGCCTACTTGTCAGCGCTATTTTTCTGTGGGTCTGTGTGAAAACCTACAAAAATAACACAATTTTTCTGTGGGTATAAGTAACCCCGTCAAGAAAATTAATATTCCTGTGAGTTGGCTGTGGAACCTACAGGAAATCTAGCGGCCCACAGGGTAGCTCTCAAGTCTGGTAGAAAGAAGGGCACCGGGGAGCAGCATGGAGGTGAAGGTGAGCAAAGTCAGGGATCCTCATCATCCCAGAAGCAGCAGAGCGTGAGTGAAACACAACGAGAGAGGGAGAAACACGGTATATAACTTCTAGCTTTCTTCTTCTTCTTCTTCTTCTTGATTCTTGATTTCTTGCATTATTGCCATAGCTTCAATTGCTTACTTGATTATTGCATGCATTAATTGCTGTAAAATTAATAAACTTTGCAGATCTGCCACCGATGTATCTGGACATAGACGACTTGATCATAACTCGGACTTCAGATGGCGAGGATTCGGACGAGCTGTGCTCCATCAAGTCGGACAGCCCCAGGGACGCTACGCCGCCCAGGAAGATACCTCCTGCAGGCCGACGTTCGTAGTTCGATCATTTTCTAGTGTGATCGATCCGTGCCACGCATGCACCTGTGTCCCATATAGGAGTAGTAGCGTAGTACTATGTAGCTGTACTAATTGTGTGTGTTCGTGTCATGTTCAATTTAGTGAGGTTGGAGAGAGCTAGCTAAGGTTCGTTTCTGTGTGTGTGTCGCAATTTAAATTTAGTTTGCTGTGTGTCTAGGTTTTGTGTGTGTCGTAATTTAAATTTAGTTGCATGTACGCGTGTATGTCGCTTAGCTGATCGGTCGGCTATGAGAGACTGGCTAATTGTATTGTCGTAATTTAAATTGAGTCTAATGATCGTGCGTACGTCGTGTTTAATTGTATTGTTGGGTAATACTCTCTCCGTCCCTAAATATTTAACGCCGTTGATTTTTTTTTAAATATGTTTGACCGTTCGTCTTATTAAAAACTATAGTAGTAGTATATTTAATAATGAATCAAATGATAGAAAAAGAATTAATAATTACTTAAATTTTTTAATAGGACGAATTATCAAACATGTTTAAAAAAATCAACGGCATCAAAAATATTTAGGGAAGGAGGGAGTAATATTCCGCCAATTCTATTTTTCTATCAATGAGATAGCACTCTTGTCATCTTCTCTTCCTACTAAATTAATTAATGAGGGGAGACTTTGTTTCTGTTTTTTCCTAGCTTTATCCGAGTCAATTTATTTTCAGCTACATATATTTACGAAGCATTCTTGGATTTCCGTCCATTTTTTACGATTCATCATCATCATTATCAGGTTATATAATACAGTGAGCTATACATGCATGATTTTTCATTTAAGGCGACAAGAACTGACTACTATCCCAACCAAGTATGTTCAGAGTTACTCTTGAGAGGCAAATCCCATACCAAGATTCAAGAAATCTGGAATTACAACAGCTGCTTCTATCTTGTAGATTTCTGGCCTAAGAAACGAAGAACACACATAATATGATATAAAAGAAGGTATGAATGCTCAAAGGTGTTGTAAAACATTTTTCTAAGATACAGGGGAGTAAAACTAGCTAGATACTGCCTTCTCCTTCCTTGCTGATGCCATATTCTTCAACAAGCTTGGTAACCAGTACTGTAAGATCGACGAACGCGCTGAACGATGCTCGCAGGAACCGAGCCTCTACAGCTTCAAAGTGCCTGAATTAGATTCAGAAAATTTTGTATCAGTACACATCGTGAATCAAAGTAAACACAATCGATAGCAATTGTTAAGAATGGATTTACTGACACGACGAGCTTGCCACCAGAAACAGACATCTCCCTCTTTACCTTGTCAGGTTGCAACTGCAAGATAAATACCACAGGATTCGAGTTCTTTTCTCAACAAGCTAGCATGAAGAAAAGAGGAAACATTGGGACTCCTTATGAAAACAAGAACCATGTTAAAGTGTACTATAACTTCTTACCTCCTTATCAACAGCTAGCGTTTTGTAAACTATGGATGCGCGTTCCTCGGATCCATAATCAATTTCAAAGTCACTGCCATACAAAAAGGTTGTTAGTGCAAGATAAATTTTCTCTACATATGAGCTACATAGTTGATGCAATACTATGCGTAAGTAGCAATGTCTGAGGAACAGGATGATTAAAGGTAGCAGATGATTCAGTATGCATAAAAGCAACATATATCAAGTTGATTACTACTAGCTCCAAGAGTTTTCTGCAAGGCTGGGTTTGTGAGACTATAGCCATGAAACAGCCATTCGCCACAAGTTTTTAAGCTATTTTTTTTTTGGCATTGATCATTCGCTCATGAAAATACATCATTTAATAACACTATATGGTCAAACGATAAAATCACTATTCTGCTCTAATTTCCATAACCCAGCAAATTTGCTTGTGCGTCAGTGGGACATCATTGTAACTTCCTAACAGATGCTGCACACTTTCATTTCTTCTGTGTTGTCTGAACTCTGAACACTACGATAAATTATTACAGAATTTCTGGCTTCCAGTCTTAACTCTTAAGAAACTAAATGTCGCCAATGGAAGTGGTTTATTTAATGATCCATCAGTTCGTGGCTTTACATTGAGAACAAAGCTTTGCGTACCCTCGCAAAATAATAGCTTTACCAATTACGACAGGATATTTACTCCATGAAAATAATCAGGTATTCCCACCGATTCAGTTCAAAATGCTTCGAAAATAGCAGTCATTGCCCTATACTATGTATCATAGTATCAATAGGTCTCAAATTTGCATGAATTTGGGGGTAAAAAAAAAGGTATAAGGAAGTATGCGCAACACATTGATAGGCAGGGAAACTGAAATGAAACCGCCGCCTAGCCAAAGAAAGCATAAACAGTAGCAAATGCTTCTTTTAGGCAATTCGTCGAACACCACGAGCGCAGGTGAAAGCAACACGGGGATAGCACAGCACCACAGCAGCATATGCACTCCGGTAGGAGAAATATCATCCAAAATTGCTCATCGAGAAGGCACGAATCGTTGAAAAAAAATATGACCGCGCAAATCGTCACCATTCGGAAGGAGAGGGAGAGGGAGAGGGAGAGGGAGAGTCACCAGGTGAAGTCCCAGCACTGAGCTAGATTCAGATCTTTCAACGCACTGTCCGACATATTCACACCTGTGCAGAGAAATTGTAGAAAAATAAGGCCATGTACAACTCAGACCTCTCCTAAAGTTTCATATGCAGCTAGTGAATCATATCTGACAAGTAATTGGAGCATTTTCAATTAAAATATGGTACAGCTGTAGCCTACAAATCCATATAGGAACAATATAACAACAGCAATGTAAATACAATAAGCAACAACAGCTATTCTAATTTCTAAAGTCCAGCAATTAGTCAGCCCTCAGATGCTCATAGGAAACTATAGGTGACCAAATCAACCACAATGTGGTTGTTATTGAGCTCTCGTTAATCCAAATTCCACCAGGTATATATATAACTCTGCAATCCTTCCACCACTGTGTACCACAATAATTAAACCGCCACTAATATCCATACTCCAAAGCAAACAAAGCGAATGATTGCTCATTTGTACTGAGGAATCATGTAATAATAAGGGGAAACAAAAAGGCAAAATCATCATCATGGAGAAGTACCACTGCATTAGCGCATAATTCACAACGAACTGGATCAGCAACTCAGCTACAGTCAACTCAACAACCCGAAACAACAAGCAGCAACCAGCAAGTCGTCCGGAACGCCGTATTCTACCGACACCCTCATCCGAATCAGTACCTCCTCAATTCCGTCCACGACCTAGGAAAACAAACCTAGGAAGCACCGAGCGGGGGCTAGATCTCCCCTCCAAATCCGCCGCCACGACCACCGCTAATTCACAACTACCCCCACACCGCCGCACGCTGTCCACACACACACACACACTACACCGACGGCGCCATTTCAGCTGTACTCCATCCCTAAGTCCGGCAGCGAGATCTCATCCCATCCAACCCCCATAAATCCCGAGAAGAACAAACAAAAAAAAAAAAACAAAATCCCCCAGAAAATCCCGCCGCGAGAGATGGGGGGAAGAGATCACATCACATCACATCACACGCGAAGCGAGAGCAGGGCCCGGGCGGCCAGCGAGCCAGATGCGATCTGCGAATGCTGCGCGCGGGGAGGGGAGGGGGCGGGGAAGGGGATGGGGGGGATCGCCTGATGCCGGGGAGCGAGGCGGGGCCGGGCCGCCGGAGGTGGGGGGAGTTCGCCGGCAAGCGCGGGGGCGGGGAGGCAGTTCGCTGGCTGGCTGAGACGCGACGCGGCGTTGGCTTGGCTTGGGCTTTTGGTTGGCCGCTCCCTCTCTCTCTCCGCTGCTACTGGAATACTGATGCTGTCATTGGGTTGGGGAAGAGAGCGAGTGGGGGCGTCGAGTTATACTGTGGTGGCGTCGCGTTGGTGTCCTGCTGCTGCTGCTGGCTGTCGTGTTTTGGACTTGGTCTGCCAAATTTGCATCCAGCTCCTGAAGAATGTTGGTATTAGCTTAGGCCAGTGTTTGGCTAATAGGATATGGAAATGATTTCCCACCTACTAAAAACATATTTAAATCCTAACCATTTATTCTCTCTCTTTCATTTAATCCTAACTCTTCATTCAATTTTCAATCCCAATCTCACTCCCTATTTCCTATTATCCAAACACACCCTACAGAGATACTCACTCTATTTTAGATTATATGTCATTTTGACTTTGATTAAAGTAAAATTGTTTCAAATTTGATTAAATTTAGAAAAGTAGTCACATATTCAACGCAATACAAATATACTATAATAATATATTCAATTATAAGCTTAATGAAACTAATTTAGTGTTGTAGATATTAGTATATTTATGTATAAACTTGATTAAACTTAGAGTAGATTAATTTTGATCAAAGTCAAAATAGCTTATAATCTAAAACGGATGTAGTAGCTTGCAACATTGCTGCTAGCCCATTTCTCCCGAAAAAAAACGATGTATCTTATTTGCGCATGATTAAGTAATTATTAACTAAAATAAAAAATAATATAATTTTAAAGTAGCATTCCTGTGGAACATTTTTAAAAGAAAATTACACCGTTTAGCAATTCGGGAAACACGTGGAAAATGAGAGTATAAATTGAAAAAAGGATTGCTAAGCTCTAATCATTTGAACTATCATTGATAAGGCGACAAAAAAACAAATGAACTAACAAAAAAATCTTATGGATAAACATTTATATTCATGTTATTGGAGGTTTTGAAGCTTAAACTGTAAAAATGATATTAAAAATTTGGGATTTTCTCGATGATTTCACAGTTTAGCAAAAAAAAGAAGAAGAAGAAGCAGAAGATACGCAATCTGTGGGGTGAGAACGAGATAACGGTCCTAATATGGGTTCTTTTTTATATAAAAAGAAAATCTTACTAACGAGAATGCAAAATGCAGCTGATTTCCTGCTTATAATTCCATATGTAACTAACCAGCACATGTCCTCCGCTGAGCAAAATGAAGTTTCCAAAGGGCTTTGTACGACAAACAACCCATAGGATTCCATAATAATTCGGCAATAATTAAGGAATTCCGATCCATCTGATTGGCGTTTGCGGGGGTGGGGGGGCCTCAATTTTAAAATTGAAAAATCAAGGAGGAAGTGATTAATGTGCAGCGGCAGTTGCGGATTTTGTGGTACGAGTCCACCGGGAGAACGACCCAAGGTCGCAACCATTAGAACGTTGCAGAAGTGAGCACTCGGTTTTTTGCGTGCAATTAATTCCGTATAAAAACAAATAGAACACCCAACACTTACAGACAAAAGAAGAGCAAGAGAAAACACAACTAATAAGTCGACATAGTTTGTCTATTCTCCATTTGAAGGCCTGGTGACAGGCCAAGGCCCATTCCCAGCCTTATATGTTCTGAAAATGGAGATCATCATTTCCAGCCCTAACTAACTTGTATCCATTGCAGCCCAAACAACTTAAGCAACAGCATCCTAATCCTTTCCTAGGTCATTTAGATTAGAGCACCAAAGCACTCTAGGGCGTTTGCAGGTGGGCCATAGCATTTGAAGGGCAAACTGCTTGTCTAGCAACCAATCAGAATTTCATCTAAGAAAAGCAACCAATCTGCGTATCGCCTTTAAAAACAACCAATCAGCACAACATTTTTACTAGCAAGCAATACAGCTGCCACCTGATTGAGAAAACTTGACATACAAAAACTATGCACCATGATTATCCTTCACATTTGTGGAAGTTAATCAATATATACTAGCAAAATACGGGCTCTAGTGATTCATTACCATCGGGGAACTATGAAATATAATTCTTCTCAACAGGAGTGGCTCCTCTAAATCGTCCACGAGAACAAGAGTACCACAGTACTGAACTCATCCAAAACCGCTGGTTCCGTTCATTCTAGGATAAATCGAAGCTCCTAAATGAGAAGATAGGTGACAGTTGTTGTACAGAGAACAAACGTTCAACTATTTTACTCCACCTAAGTAGGGAGAACACGAACTAGGTTTAGTTCACCCAAGTACGGAGAACACGCACGAGCGAATGGATTAAATCCATGAGCTCGCAGGGGGAGGGGGAGAGGGAGAGGTGAGCGGCTTATTACCTTCAGCCAGTGGCGTCAACGGCAGTCGGCGGGGCGAGACCGACAATGGATTCCGGGGCGTCCAGGCCGGGCGTGAGGCGACTGGCGGAGAAGACGGGATGGTGACTGCGGGAGCGGGATAACCTGGGGCGACCGGCGGCGGCGGAGATCCGGGTGTCGGCGGCGAGAGGCGATCTCCGGCACGGCGGCGCCCGACGAACCCTAGCCGCCCTAGTCGCCGCCCGTGGGGAGGAATTACTCGCGTCGGAACGAAATGGTGTACGGCCGGGAGAAGGATTGGGGTGGCAGGAATTTTTACACTTTACCCCTTTTACTAAACTTATTCTATATCTTAGACCTTGACAAAACTATGGGCCGTTTTGGTTTGATGCCAAAAACATACCCTACCAATTTATTGGCAAATTGAATAGTTTGTGTGTTAGTTTGGATTGAGACTAAATATTTGGTAGTGCCCCTAAAATATTTGGTCATATTCTAGAAGTTTCTTCACTATGCTATAAGAATTTGGCTTTAAATTGGTAGCAATCCAAATGTTAGCTAAATAATTTTACCCTACCAATATTTTGGTAGTGCCAAAATTTTCCTAGACTTTGGCACTACCAATGAATTGGTAGGGTAAAGAACCAAACAAGCCCTATAACCACAAGCATATGCCTATGGGCCAATTACCTACATGCCCCTGTAATTTCACCCAATCCCTTCTACGCCCCATAAATTTGTTTGATCTCTTATATACCCCTGAGTTTTTATTTGCATCCCTTAAATACCCATTCCGTTAGTTGACCATTAGTTTGACCGTTAGTTATTGAAGAAATTACTTTATTGTCCTTGGTATATTGTTAAAAGCTAGAAATGTTTTATGTGTAAATTATTTGAGTTGTGAAAACCAATAAGGAATAAGTTACTAAATATTTGTTATGAATTTTTAAAAACAAAACATTATTTCATGAAAATAAAAAAGATTTATTGTAAAAAAAGTTCTGCATAAAATTTGAAAATTACTTTTCAACAAATATTTAGTGAAAAAAGATTCGTTGTAAAAAAACAAAGGGGATGTAATTAGTTTATCACAAATTAGAAAACAAATTTAAAATTTTTAAATAAATTTCAGATCAAATTTGATGAATTTCGTATATCTTCCCAAAAAATTAAACCTAAATAACATTTAGTTTTTGCTCTTAATTTTCTGGTGAAACTAATGTATGTATTTAATCATTTTTTTAAAAATAATAAAAAATAATAAGTTTTATTTTTTAAGTTGGGCATCAAATGATTATATTGCTTGTATTTTGTATAAGTTAATTTTTTCATATGAAAATTTATTGGGTAGGTACCACATATGTATAGGATGGGTAATATAGTCATTTTAAAATATTTAACGGTCAACTAATGGTTAACTAACGGAGATGGGTATAGAGAAGATCAAAATGAAAACTCAGGGGTATATAAGGGATGAGGTCAAATTCAGGGGTATTAAAGGGATTGAGTAAATTTTTAAGGGTATATAGGAATTTTCTCTATGCCTATCTATCTATTTATCTATCTTTCATTCATCACTCAATGCAATGGTTCAAATTGTCCATATTAAATCCAATGCTTGAGATTCATCCCACCTCCAACCTCTTCCTACCCCGCAGGTTCCCCTTCCCCTCCCGAGTCCGACTCCATAATCGCCGCCACCAATCTCCAACCCGCCCATGCCCGCGATTCGCCGACCATCGTGCCACCGCGCCCCCCACCCACAGCGCCACATCCTCTCTTCCCTCGCTAACGGCTCTTCCACCGCGCCGTCGCCGGCTTCAAGTATTCACTGGCTCTACGTGCATGTAGAGGTATTTTGCCTGCCATGACCCATCTGTTGCTCACAACAAGGAATGAAAAATACTACCTCCGTCCTATAATAATTGTATTTCTATCATGCAAAATTTGTCAAAAAAAATTGTATTTCTAATAAGATGGGACACAACAAATGGAATGTGTACCCACAACCTTCCTTTTAATTAAGATTACATATGGTGTGTCGCTTAACATTCCTTTTAATCAAGTATACATATGGAATATACGCATACAATATAGTTATTAAATAGGGTTATTGTGGTAAATTATGTTTGCTGTTAATATGTCTTTAATTTCCTAAAAATATAATTATTATGGGACATAGGTAGTATAATATGAACGTGAAGTGGTGGCTAGTAACTTGGAAGTAGAGATTAGCTTGATTAAAAAATAAAAAAGTGTTGAATGTTTGTTGTACGTATAACATATTAACTATTGCTTAAATAACATACTATCTATATCAATTAGAGCAAGTTTAATAGTACAGCCAACTATGGGCTCCAAATTAGCTAATAGCTAGTTGATACAATAGTTACCAATAAACATGTACTGTATAATTAATGTCAGGTCCCAGATGTTATACACACATACATCTTGGAGTCTGTGCTGCAGCTGGCTATAAATCTGTAGCCCGCTGCTCTTATATCTCTTCTTTTACCTCATTAAAATATGTTTATAGCCGGCTTATAGTCTACTATTGTACCTGCTCTTAGAGCAAACGGTCGACTATATTATTTTGCACTAGATGAGTAGAGAGGGGTTTACTTGATGGCACAGAGAAAGACTCCAAGAGTGACTTATGTTGTAATTTAGGCTTAAGTCAACTCATATGAAATTATAGTAGGATGAATATTAAAGTCAAACAAATATTCATATAATGTACGAGCATTTTATCTCTTCTTTGATTTAGAATTTGAACTTTCTGGGAAAATTTATGCAAAACTTATACCCGCGACATCCTCGGGATTGCAAATAGGGCATGGGTTTCTCATCTCATGAGTCAACGTCGCGGCGGGCCAGCACCTCCCACTCCCCCAACCCCCCCCCCCCCCCCCCCTGTCGCCTCCCGCTCATATTTGGACACCGCCGCGGCGGCGGAGAGCGCAAACCCCCGCCACCCCCCTCGCCGCCCGCCGTAAAACCCTAAAACCATGGCCGCCGCGGCGGAGGCCGTCCTCTTCCTCCTCCACCACCACCTCGCCTTCTTCGGGCTACGCATCTCGCCCTCCGTCTCCGTCCCCTCGCCCCGCCGCCGCTCCGCCGGAGAGGTGGCGCTGCTCGCCGTCGTCGTCGTCGCCGCGCTCCTCACCGCCACCACCCATGCCGCGTCCGCAACCATCGAGTCGCGCCCCGCCGACGCCCTGCGGTCGGAGGTCGACGAGCTCAGGCTCAGGGTTCTGCATTTGGGTGAGGCACCGCTTGCTTTGGCCCTCTCCCCTTTCCCACCTCGGCAGAGTGCTGTTTCTTGCGCGCTGTTTGGTGTTCTTGCCATATCTTAGATTTGAAATGTCTTGTGCTCATCGTGCGTACACTGACATATTAGTGCTCGAAAACTTGCGTGGGCGTACTAAGTAAACGACGAGTCGACGAGTACTTTGCTTGAATCACACCGTCTGAATAATAGGGTTTAAAAAAACTTATTCAGAATTGGAACTACAATGTTATTTGACCAATGCTTGTACTTATTTCAGCTTTCGATATTGACTCCAGGTTCAGGGATTATTTATGCTATTGTTTCTACATTATATGCTATTCCTGAAGTTATAATATTTTAATTTGTAACACTATTTGCAGTTTTAATCGTTTGTAATGTAAACGTTTCCACAATAATTGGATTTAAAAGTACAACTGTTTCTAACATAGAATTTGAAAACTCTGTTTCAAGTTCCATTGCACTTATAATTTGTTATTCATTTAAATTTATTGGCAGTGTACTTTTTTGCATTATATGAATATAAGAATCACAATTCAATGAGTTTTCTATAATCTGACCAAGAAGTAAAAAGTGGATCAAGGACCTGAATGATTGTGATTCTTCTGGCTATTTTGTGTACTTGTGAGTTATTTATGCTATTCTAGTTCCTGTTTTGTTTGTTTGTACCTGCAGGGTTAGTGTTATGATTTTAAAACTGCTTGCCAAATCCATTGATTTGGTCTTTTACTCTTCTGCAGTTGGGTTTGGTCATAAAACTTGAAACCCATAAACATGATCCTCATGGCGGTATGCTATTGACGAACAAATTTCTAATTATTCGTTGTCGGTTCATTCTGTGGTTGAATTCAATCTATCACAATGAGACCGGTTAAGCTTTCCTAGACTTAGTTGAATTAAGCCTAACTGTAGACTGTTACCTGCCTGTGATGTTAATATGTTATTGGATCCTTAGGGGATAAACACCACCGGGAGGACAGCCTGTCATAGCTGGGTGGTATTTACTAGCTAGCTAGGGGAGAGAATAGGCTAGATGCTGGGATTTCCAATAGGGATCTAATACTTAGATTGATTAATCTCCTTTTGCTTTATTCCTGATCAATGATATCGAACCACATTACATACCGAGTGTCCTAACACCCATTGTAATGGAATAGTAAATATGGACTGGATCGTTGCAATAGTTAACTAATCCTAACAACAAAGAGAACTAGAGATGAAAGAATCAATTTACCGGATCCTGATTGGTTGAAAATGCTGCTGCTGTGCTGGAGTCGTTGCCTTTCTGCAGCTGGCTGTGCGTCGTGGTCACACATTTACATTGTATTCTCCTTTGAATCGAAATAGCTTACCTGGTAGCATATCATATCAACACCATATGTAATGGTTTTCCAATATGTTTTTGACCCTTTATGCTCTAGTTCTGTTTGCAAAATCTAACTTACGAAGCTTCTTTGACACTGTCAACAATATAGTTTAATTGCATCTGGAATTCTTTACTGCTGATTGAGCCAATGGCATTTGTTTTGAATTTTGATAAATATATCATCCTTCAACCTTTACAAAATTTATATTTTTTGTTCCAGAATCTTTGTTGGAGGAAAACACAAAAACTTTGAAGAGTAAAGCAAACAATTTGGAAGAGAACAGCAATCTTATTGGAACTATGGAACATGATATTGAGATTTTAATGAACAAATATGAGAGTACCAAGGTATGCGGTTATATCAGTGAATGCTTGTGTTATGTTGCTCTGTAACAAGTTAGCCATCTCGCTGTAGATGAATAAACATCACTTGCACTGTACATAATCTCTTCTTCAAAAATCATGGAATTCTTTTTTGTAGAAAACCACTTTAGGACTAATAAAGTGAATAATGGTGTGGATGTATCATTGCTAACTATGTACTTCCTCCTCTTCAAAATATAAGACTTACTTTGGATGGGAACAAAGATGAAGAAGGGTATGAAACCAGAAAAAAGTGAAGAGGAAATAATCATGTCTTCCATACTTAAGTACAAAGGAAATATGAGAGAAAATAATTGGTATGAGTATTAAATCATAATGCAGCTAAGAGAAGATGTGATAAATAGGGGCAAAGGAAGTAGAATATCAATTAAAATCTACATGCACACATTACATTTTTTGAAAAAGGAGTGTACAGTATCGTTCTCGTATAACTTCGTTTATTAGCTGGTCATATTATTCTTACCGAAACAAATATCTATGGCTATATTAGTGGGGACTTGGGGAGCAGATAAGATGAGCACTGCAATAGTAGATCTGTAGATGAGTGGATAATTTTCTTCATATACTATTTTTTATGAATCTTTTTTACAATTAAAAGATCTCAGTTTCTATGTTCTCTATCAATATTTGAAATTCAATGGCTTAGTGAGATGACATGTTAGTGGGGATTGCTTAAAACTTAATGTGTATGTTTGACCTTAACCACCACTGCACGACCCATCCAACTGACTTATTCAGCATTTACTCTGATGATTTTATGTCTCCTATTGTGAAAATGTCTGCAGTAGGATGTATTCAACTATTTGTCATCTTTCTAGAAATTTTGTCCAACTGCTGATGTACATATAATTTCTTTCCTCGCATATGCTAATATTTACACTCTCTGGATGTAGAAATCTCAAAGCAAATCCTACCCAGAAAGCAATGTGAAAGCTTTGGAAGATGAGGTACCTCTCGCTTTATCTTTAGAATAATTTATTAATTATTATCCATGATATAACATGCCATAATTGGGTTTCCCTCTTTTGTTGGGTGTATTATATAATCATATCTTTGAAATGATATATTACATATATATACTTGTTTCTATATTCTGCTGGCTAAAGCTACATATATTTTTCAGTATAATGTTTTAGTATTAGTAAAATATTATGAGGAAGTTGCAGCTAGTCCCAGGGACATTTGCAAATTAATTTTTGTGTAATTTAGAAACTTCTGAAAAAAATGTAAATGTAGATCATGCCACACTAATCTATTTGAGCAAAAACTTGTAGAAGATTGGAAAATTATGTCTTTGTTGTATCACACACATAATATCATATTTTGTATAAATTACTTGTCAGCATATATATATTTTTTAGAATTTTCTAAATTCCACAAGTGCAAATTAGCAGAAGTTGCAAACAAAACTCCACCAAAATTTTGAACATGATGAGATCAGACTTCAATTGGAAAATTCATCATGTGACTCCTGACAGTGTTCCTGTGCAGGTGCAGCTCCTCTGGAGAGTGGTCAGAAAGATGAATGAGAATGCTGACTCAATAGAATCCCTAGCAAATGGTGCTGAGAAAAGGGTTGAATCTCTGAGTTCAGAAGTCAAAAAGGTATTATGTAACTGATCAGTTGAATCTTTAATAGAGTAATATCTACTTTCCTTCAGACAAGGTCGGAAATTTGTTAAGTTATTTTATCCTTCTTCGTCATCAGATAAACAGAATCATGCTCTGTAGGATTTGAATGCTACTGTTTTAATTTTTTTTTCTTTGACTCATTACTCATGTCACCTGTATTAATTATTTCGACAGAGGAAAATAACATGTTTAATGCTTATTTTTGTAAAGTTCAAAGTGCTCATTTGTGGCTTATCAAGAGGCTATGGTGTAATAAAGATATTTGTAAAAAAATATATAAATCATCTTCTGTAGCTTGTTTTAAGTCTTAACAATGAAGAGCAAAAACTATGTGGTTCAGTTGAGCTATCTAGAATTAGTTTTCAAAGAGCTACCCTTACACATAAGAAGTGCTGAACATTCTTATAAAGCAGCCATTCGTCGTTATGATTGACCTTAATGTTCATTGGTGCTACACTGCTACTAGATTTATTTTATACCTATCTCACAAAAGCTTAACAACTGTTAGTTTCACAATTTTTGAATCAGATGGAAGGTGTAATTGCAGAACAATGGATCCAAATTCGGCAACTTGAACAGGCATTTGTGTTGACGAAGGTAATTTACCATATATTTGTGCTGCTATAAATTATGCAGAAGTAGTTCACTAGTTTATTCATCAAGTGAAATGAATGCAGATGATGACATCAAAAGTTCATCAAAGAAGCAGGTTATCCGAGACTGCTTATAAATGGCCTGGAAAAGATTTAGTCCTTAAGGTATATTGACAGTTTATATATATTAATATGTTCGCGTTCAGTATATACTTGTGAATTATATAATTTCTGCATCTTGCGGTCCAAATACAATGTATATATTTTGCATGTTTCTTTTCCTAAATATTACAAGTTTATTGCAATATTTTGATGTGAATTGGTCTTGTATCGCATTATCAAAACCTTCCAGAAATTTGTTCTTCACAGCTTAATTAAACACGCTCATCTGAGACTCTGATTATTTACATTTTTAAAATACGACTACATTCACTTATTTATGTTAAAATTCGTTATACTGCCATACTAAGGGCTACTTAGGCTTATTGGCTTAGTTTTCTAAGTCAGATTTTTGGCTTATATGATTTATAAGCCAATGGGATTAAATTCCTAAGTTTATTTAGGCACTTAGAATCATTATGCAAATTGAGCTACAGTCATTCAGTACCACAGTTAATTTACACATCATTAATCACCTGTTGTGTAAATGATGTGCAAACTGGAATCTTTATCCCTTTCTGATTTCCAAGAGTTCTTTGTTGATGGTTTTATTATCTGCAGTATTTCAGGAATCTTCATGGCACTTTTCTTATGGGGGTATCATACACAAAGTCCTGCTTTTCTCATACATATAAACATGGCAGGAGTTTCATACAAGCAATGAACAGACCCTACCATGAGGTGCCTACATGATTATGTTTCCATGTTGGTGAACCCATATATGTGTTCACCTCTTATTTATTAGGCAATATGCATTATTAATATTTGTAAGTATGCAATTCAAACCATGTTCTCACCTAGCTGCATTAAGCATGCAAAATATACTGATAAGTGATATATATAACATATTGAAATGGTTGGATGGTATCTATGAAAATATTGTGCTAAGCACTCGAAGTCCTTGAAGTTTTCTTAGTTCATGCTTCCATAAAAGTTCTTTGTATTACTGATGTAGAAGCATTGGTAAGCTAGCGGTACCTAATTTTCTTGATGGATAATGATTTTGTGTCATTGCTCCTGACATATGTTCCAACTTTTTACAGGTATCACGGTTCTGTAAGGCAATATGTGGCCAGCATATTCGCGATGTTGATAAGCCTAATGTCTTCTTCTTGGGTGGATCCATCTCCCGATCATGTATTTCTGCACCTTATAAACAACTCAAGATTTTCATGTTATTGGCTCAAAATTTTCATCATAAGGTACCCATCTTCCAATATCATCTTTTAGTCCTTTGCCCTTGATATATTTGGTTGACTTGTTTTTAACTGTCTTAATCATATTAACATCTATATGAATATGAGCAATGCTAGAAAGTCTTACATTATGAAACGGAGGAAGCAACTTATTGTACATCATGTCTCATGTGCTGTCTATAAATAATGTGGAAGAAAAATTACATACAACAGTGTCTTGACGATTGAACATGTTCTAATGGGTCCAAAAGGGCTTCACATGACGGTGGTTAACTTGCTATCCTGTGACTCCAACGCATGAATATGTAACTAAATTCATGAATTACATATATGTAGGTCCAGATATTTCTCCAGGATGCAATGAGATCCAATAGTTACAGTAGAGGTTTCGCAACTGAGATAATTACGTTCTGCTTGGTGAGTACTTTTCAACAACTCCCTTTGTCTCGTTGGTGTTACTCCTGTTGGAATACCTTTTAAGTTTCTCCCTGACCAAACTGCAGGCATATTTTGTTGTTATATCTCCAATGTGGATTCTGTGGTTCCTCTATTCAACGCGATTTGGCTCAAAGAAATGACCAGTTGCCATAAAACAAGAGTTGCATATACTGTTTTCATGTTTTTACATTTTACAAGTATAGAAGAGTTGCATGAGATGGTGGAAAATGCGTATAATTATATCTTGTAATTTATATCGAGCACATTGTATCACATTCCCCATGGAACCTCCCCTTTGCGGGGTGGTGTATTTATACCCCTAGCTCGCTCGCATTCTTCAGGGACTTGGATGGATAAATTTGTCTACTGATTTAGGCAGTCCTAGGTCTTCAAAGAAGAAGCATTTTTTTTTGATCGTTCAAAAATGCATCTTCCTTATCTGCTCGATATTCTTGATTTAGTGAGTTGTTTCTACTATATACAGATCGAGATATGATTTCTTCATCGGTGTGTCCATGTACTTGTGGTACGGACAAATGGGACGGGGACAGAAATAGATGGACGCTCAACCCTTTTGGATAGAAAGGGAATTTTCTATATAGTCAATCTTTGCCAAATGTGCTGTATGGGGGTTTTCTTGCTGTTGTTTTTTTTTTCTAGAATCTTCAAACTTTTCATATTTTCGCCTATATTTTAGAAGATGTATTTGTAAAATTAAAAAAATGAATTAGAAGCTAGAAGGTGAAAAACCTGCCTTTCTAGAGCATGTCTAGGGTAGCTTGGGGTAGATACAACTTCTAAAATCAATAGCTCCCTTGAATATTCTAGTTTTTTTTTCTAGATTTTAAGAAGCTATAGCTGTAAATTTAGAAAATAAACTAAAAGCTAGAAAAACTTTCTAGCTTAGCTTCTTCTTTAGAGCTTTTTTTTTTAAAGAATCTAAAGCTTCCAAAACATGTTTTTACATTCTGCCCAGCCGGTTGCTTACATTTCCAATAATCATAAGCTTCCTAAACAGAGTCAAAGTGAATGGCAAATGATTGAAAACATGATGGGAGTCCTTAAGAAAAGGAATAGAGGGAATAGAGGGAACTTTGGATACTATTAAAGTAACCGATAACTCTTGATAGTATAGAACCGAAAATGTGAACTTTTATGTTCTAAAACAAAATTTGCAGAAAAAATTGTAACTACAGAACAAATGAAGTTTAACTTTTAATTTCTTGTGTGCTTTTTTATTTTCCTAAATAATGTAGCTTAGCTTTTATTTATTATCATGCTATATAAATTATGATTTCCAGATTCATTTTGGTAAATTTCACAAAACTACAGACATTTTAATCAAAATATTACAAACTATAAATTGAACAATAAATTTATCACACAACTATATATTTTAAGATAAAATATCACAAAACTACTAATAAAATTATCATAAATCATTTAGCATTTTATATTCACCATTCTTATTTTTCTTTACGATCACAACTCATTTTCTCCTATCTATATAAAAAAAATGATGCTAGGTTTAGCAATGGGAGTGGATTCTAATTTCTCGAGGGGATGTCTCACGCGTACCTTTTTCTTCTAAATTCGATACAAAATTATGATTTTTTTATAAATGAAAATGAAGTCATGTAGAGTATAGTGATATCTATCAATCCATCAAAAATCAAGTTCAAATTCGATCTATACATGAAGGGAAAAAAAGAGAAATTCAGATGTTAACGGTACACTACTATTCGTACATTGAATTTGTTTTTTTATATATACTAGAAAATGCCCGTCCGTTGAAATGCATTGATATGAATGATGATGAGAGATATTAATATCAAGCAACTAAAGCTTGTATTTATTATTAAGCTAATCAGCAAGCGATCTTACACCAACTCCGATAATAATTTACACATGCACGTGTAGTGTCTGATTAGCACTTGTGCAATTACACTTCTGTTAACAGATTAACCCTTCAGTTTGTCACAATCTTAATTATCCTATTAAACATGCTGGATCAGATTAATTACCGTGCAACCACTGGTGGAGAAGTGGTTTTTACTCCCAATTCGTAACCCCTATATAGTCCCGGTTTTTCAACCGGGACTACGAATTTGGGACGCTATCTTTAGTCCCAGGTGAAATAACCGGGAGTAAAAACCAACCGGGACTAAAGATAAAGCATTTTTAGTCCCGGTTAGTGTTACCAATCGGGACTAAAGAGGCTAGATCCGGTTGCTTCTTTATTCTTTTCTTTTCTTCACTGTTTTTAATATATTGATTTCACCCCATCCTGTCCCCATAATCCCAAATCAATCATCCTCAAATTGCCTCCAAATCCACAAATCGATCATCTCAAATACATCACAAAATCTTAAAAAAATTACATCACAACTTCTGAAAAATTCATCACATATTCACATCACACACAAATCAAATACATCACACAACAATTTCAAATACGAATCACAAGTTCTCCAAAAAAAAAAAACGCCACCGCATGCCGCAGCCGCCACGCCGGCCGGCCCTCCGCGCCCCGCGCCGCCGCGAGGCCGCCAGCCACCGCCGCGCCGACCGGCCCTCCGCACCCCGCCGCCCTCGCGCCGGCCGGCCCTCCGCGCCCCGCCGCTGTAGTAGAGAGGAGAAGGAGAGGAGAAGGAGAGGAATAGATAAGGAGAGGAATAGAGATAAGGTTGAGGAGAGGAGTTAAAGGAGAGAGAAGATAATGTTGAGGAGAGGAGAGGAGTCAAAAGGAGAGGCGGAGATGGCCTCTATCCGATCGGCACATCTCTCCGATATCTGCGTCGATCTTTTTTTCGGTTGGTACCAACCGGAACTACAAATCTTTGGTCGGGAGTAAAACGTATGGAGATCTTTATTCCCGGTTGGTGTTATCAACCAGAACTACAAATAGATCTTTAGTCCCGGTTGGTAATTAAAGATTGAAAAATACCCTGGAGCTTTTAAATCAGAACTAAAGATGTTTTTAGTCCCGGTTTTTAATATAACCGGGACTATTGTGAAATCTGGTCGACCGACCAAAAATGGTTTTTCCACCAGTGAACGTCATGACCGGCGCATCAAAGCTTCACTTTGTCAATTATATATGAATTTTTGGATGATGTACGTAGAGCATATGCTTTGCGGTATATTAACTCGTCTATACCAATGACTAGTTCATGCTAGCTTTGTCCATGGAGAGCAGGAAACATCGATCTCGTACCCGAGAGCGTGAGCAATCACACGTTGTGCGCCCCGTGTCGTCACTCGTCACGTCGAGAAGCTACCTGCCGCTCGCATTGGCCACGATCACCGGCTTAACGATCCAAGGAGTGCACGCGCGCGGCTACGTACTCCGGGTCGGCAATGGTGGTGCATGGCGGCGTCGACGTGCCTAGAAGGATGCCCACTCCAGCATGCACGACCGTGGGGTTCTCACTTGTTGGCCAGCTCGGGAACATCAAACTGAACCAGAGCGCAGGTACGACTCTCTCGGCAAGTCATCCTGACAGACGGTATTTATCCCGCGACAACAGCGACGCCATGCGGCGCCGACCGTCCTTGCTATTTCGTCCGGCTAACAGCAAGGCTAATAATACCGTTAACCTGTTGTTGGCTATAAGGTTATTTGTAATTTTCTCTTAGCCTACTGACGGAGCGTGGGGCTCCTCACCGGGAGACCGCGCAGGCCCCCCTTTGCCAGTTCGGCCGGGGACTCAGGGTGAGATTCTAAGCTCTCTGTATGTGGAAGGTTCGCGAGACAGGAAACACACAAGACACGGGCGATGTATACAGGTTCGGGCCGCTGAGAAGCGTAATACCCTACTCCTGTGTTTTTGGGAGATCTGTGTATGAAGGAGCTACAAAGTATATGCCAGCCTCTCCCTTGTTCTGAGTTCCTAATCTGGAAAAGTCCAGTCCCCCATCTAAGTGGGCAAGGTCCTCCTTTTATATCTTAAGGGGATACCACATGCACCATTTCTCTCTTTTTTGTGGGGACTTACCCCACCTTTTCATAAATGGACAGAGATTTGTATAGTTGCCGTCCGAGTCACCTTCTGATGAGACGGCCCACAACTACCTCCACTTTCGCCGGGAGCAGATGCGACGTGGAATCGTGGCTGTCCGCTGACGACATGACCGGTGTCAGACCAGTCACGTCGGTCATTCTTGTCCACCACGTGTCAGCTTAGCAATCTACATGTTCGCCCTTCTTCACACAACATCTTGCTTGTAATGGTTAGGATGAAGCCTGGCATATATCTGACCAGGACTATCGTGCCATCTCTGGGAGGTAACACGCTAGCTCCAGCTGGGGGCGAGCGCCTAGAAGCCCTCGTCCTGACGGGATGGGGCGAGGCGTGCGTCAGATCGCCTGTCGCCACCTAACCCGCGATTTGACCGGTCTGTGACTGGTCACAGACCGGATAAATGAGTGCACTGCACTGCGTTACATGCGGCGTGACACGCTCAGCCAAACCGCAAAAAATGTGGTTAGGTGAGCCCCACTGTGCTCACCTAACCCATACACTCGGAGCAAAAACCCACGAGGGGTCGGGGCGCCTCGGCCCTCGGGGCCGAGGCGGGTGCGGCCCGACCCCCTCGGGGGGACTAAGAGGAGGGCGAACACATCACCCTCGGGCCCGACGTCCCTCGGGGGTGCCAGGCCACGTGTGCGATTGTGTCTGCCTCAAACCTCTAGTCATGATACTCCTGATCCCATGTCACCGACAGTAGCCCCCGGCGTTATGCCAGGGCAATCGCCCTCTTTAAGGGAAACGGTCGGGCGTGACGCCACTCCTAAGGCTTGGTGACAGGTGGGACCGGTCTCCACAATTGGGCAGAAAACCAACGGTCACAAACCACGCACATCGGCAATGGTAACTCGGCTGTCAATAATGAGCGGTCTCTTCAATACCGCCACATTACTTGAGTAGCACACGAATCTGGACATGGCGATTCGTTTCGTCTGGAGATATGGTAACGTCGCTTCGGTCGGCGAGCGTAATTAACGCACGCACGATATGATCTATCTCGACTGCCACAACCGCATATCCACCTCATGCGCCGCAAGCGGGCGAATGGGATTAGTGGAAGCGTGGGCGCGAGAAACGAGGGGGCGAAATAGTGGGCGCGAGAAGCGTGGAGCCGGGCACGGCGTTGGCAAGAGTATAAAGGCACTGAGGAAGGGATCTGTTTCCTTCCTTTCGCCATTATTCCCCTTGTCTTCGCCGCTTGCGCCCTAACTCCTTCTTTCCTGTGCCCTACCTTCGCCACACGCGCTCGCTCTTAATCTTCTCTTCCTCCGGCGCCATGGCACGGGGCTCCGCTCTGCTCGATGGTAGCGTGCTGCCGCCTTCCCGCATCGTGAGCGAGAGGCAGGCTGGGCTGCCGCGCCGCTTCATGCCGGAATCTGCCACCGGCCGGGAGATAGTCACGCTGGGCGAGGGACGCCCGGCGCCAGACTACCCGGGGCGGTCCGTCTTCTTTCTCCCCTTTGCAATGGCAGG